AAGTCATTCCCCAACTGATAAATGGTCAAAGGATATGAACAGGCAGTTTTCAGATGAAGAAATTAAAGCCATCTATAGTCATATGAAAAAATGCTCTAAATCACTATGGATTAGAAAAATGCAAATTAAAACAACTCTGAGGTACCACATCACATCTATCAGATTGGCCAACATGACAAAACAGGAAAATGATAAATGTTGGAGAAGATGTGGGAAAATTGGAACACTAATGCATTGTTGGTGGAGTTGTGAAATGATCCAACCATTTTGGAGAGCAATTTAGAACTATACCCAAAGGGCTATAAAAATGTGCATACCCTTTGACCCAGCAATAGCACTTCTAGGGCTGTATCCCAAAGAGATCATACAAATGGGAAAAAGACCCACATGTACAAACATATTTATAGCAGCTCTTTTTGTGGTGACAAAGAATTGGAAATTGAAGGGATGCCCATCAATTGGGGAATGGCTGAGCAAGTTGTGGTATATGAATGTAATGGAATACTATTGTGCTATAAGAAATGATGAACAGGAAGACTTCAGAAAAACCTAGAAAGACTTGTATGGTCTGATGCTGAGTGAAGAGCAGAACCAGGAAAACGTTGTAGACAGTAACAGCCACGTTGTGCAATGACTGACATTGATAGACTTGGCCCTTCTCAACAATGCAAGGATCTAAGACATCTCCAAAGGCCTTGTGATGGAAAATGCTATCCACATCCAAAGAAAGCTCTATGGAGTCTGAATGTAGATTGAAGCATACTATTTGCTATTTTTTTCTTCTGTTTTGTTTTTGTTTCCTCTTTCTGGTGGTTCCTCCTATTGGTTCTAATTTTTACTTACAACATCACTAATGTGAAAATATTTTCATATAAATGTATATGTATGTCCTATATCAGGTTGCACGCCGTCTTGGGGACGGAGGTGGGAAGGAAAGGGGAGAAAAATGTAAAACTCAAAAGCTTATGGAAGTGATTGTTGATAAATTAAAATAAATTTTTTTTTAAAAAAGCCAAGCATTCCCACTAGGGGGATTCAGGAAATATGTCCCCAAACAGTTCTCCCTCCTACTAAAACTCCTCTTGTGCCTCCACAAAGGCTCAGAATCCATCTCTCTCTCTAGCCTTACTTAAAAGAACAGGTTGATTTCTGACCAGAGACAGCTAGTACAGGAAAAAAAGACAGAAAGAGGAGAGAAGGAAGTGATAGTAGAAGGAACAGCATCTATTTATTCATGCTTTCTGTCTCAGGTTCTATTTGCTCATCCCCATCTGTATAACTTCTGCTTAGAAGCCATACCAAACAATGTAATCCTGTGTTTTGGAGCTGGAGATAACTTTATTGATCCCAAACTTTTATACACATATATAATTAAGTAAAATAATATTCATCATACTCCAAGAAAACTCACATAAATTTTCCCATCTGCCAGAGGTATCTGAAGAACAGAGAAAGAAGTATCTCCCACTAGAGAGTAAGCTACTTGGGGGCAGGGAATGTGGCTTATTCTTCATTATATCCCATAAAATTGAAGGACTTGAGCATGATAGGTACGTTGATAAATGAGGCAATGACTCACAGCATTCTGGATAGCCAAGAAATGGTGATTTCATGAGGTCATAGACTCATAAAATGGTGGCACTAGAAGGGCCTTTAGAGATGAATAATCTAGTTCAGCTTACTTGTGTCATAAATTAAAAACCTGAAGCCCAGACAAACTTAATCATTTGAAAGGGTACCAGACTAAAAAGGGATTAAAGTTGCTCTGCTTGGCCTTCAGGAACAGAGTGGCAATGAGTGGATCCTGAATAGCCAGATTTCTGCTCAATATTAAGGGTCCAAGTCAGGTGGACTTCTTGGGCCAAACTTAAGGACAGTTATGAAAAAGTCTCACAGGGTACACAGGCACAGATGAGTTGCCTGGTTCATCATTTGTGGAAAGATTGAAACTGATGAGGTCACACATTCACTTTAGTATTAAGGGGAAACTTCCTGGTAATGCAAGCTATCTAAAAGAGGATGAGTCTTCCTCTGGACTCTGAGGAAAGATTTTCTCCTCCTAATAGGTCACAAAGGCTAGATTATCATTTGTGGCTGGATGGTGTAAATAGATATGGGAGCCACTAAACCATACATAAGAATCCCTGCAGGCTGCATATTAGCTTTAATATGTAATCTTATCTACGGTTTGTTGTATTTTTATTTATTTTGTTAAATATTTCCCAATTATATTTTAATTTGGTTTGGGCCAGTTGGGTATTGCGGGCCATACACAGGCCATTTGACACCTGCGGTGTTGAGGAACTCCTTATCTAGGAACAGGTCTGACTAGAAGGCTTCTGAAGAACCATCCAACTCTGCGATTCTGATCCAGTAATTTAGACCAGACTACATGCACATTTATTGGGTGTCCAAGCCACTCCGTCTCCTGGCTGGTAATTCTCTCCCATGGTGAGGTCCAATTGTCTTTAGCTTCACTTATGCTGTGGCCCTACTGACCTTCCATACGATGTGTGGAATAGAGGACCATATGGATTCCAAGCCCCCAGCCTTGTTCTTCTTCTTTCCCACACAATTAGTTCTGAAGTCACACTGTAAGAACCAGTTTAGCCACGTGAGTCTAGAGGCTCTGAGCTTTTATCTGCTGCTTAGAGGCAGCATTGCCTCATTAGGACCATCACTAACAAACAGGTGCTGCTTCCCTGATGGCTGTGTGACCTCTGCAAGAGCATCTGAATAAATTCCATTCCAGCTCTAAAATGCAATAAGACTAACAAGTCACAATATCTCTTTGGGGATGTTTCTTGACAGAATCCTGGGACACATTATTCAGTCAAGAGGAGTTGTAAGGGAGTTCTGGCCCCACTATTTCAGGGCCAGGTTGGCTCCATCAGTCCAGGACTCCAAAAAATACCCTGAGGTTTTTACGAGTATCTCTTTTCTCTCCTACTGACTCAACCAACTGTACTCCTCCTCAATTTGTTAGGGAGCCATGACTAGCACTCTGTATTTCTTACAACCACTTAACATCAATCAGCAGTTACAAATGGATTTTTACCTCAAAAACATCACAAGAATAGACAAATATTTTCTGTTACGCTTCAGAGGCATAATCCCCCATCCCTTCAACCTCTTAGGGTGGTGGGTAGGATACTTAGCTCAGTTTCTAATTACTATGGGTCCTACCATCATCACATCTAATAGTAGCATCACTGCTGGATGAGTCCTTCTACTGGGCTGGGGTCCCAAAGGTCACTCTCAAAGATTGCTCCTTCCTCTTCTGGGCATTAGTGAAGCCTGGATTCCAACTCCCAGATTTCTATAGCTCACTTTCTTTTTTTGTTGTTTGTTTTTTTATTTTTTTTCTATAGCTCACTTTCACAGCTTTTGAAATGGTCAGGGTTGGACACTCCACTCCCTACCCTTTGAATGTAAAAGAATGGGAGGGAAAGCCAAGGTATCCTCATTTTTTCTCCCTTTGGCCTCAGGGGGAAAGGCACCATGGCCCTTTAGCTTACAGTATAGTCTCTTACTAGAGGCCATCACACCACCAGAGCACAATTGAAAACAATGAGGCAAAGAGTACCAAAGCTGAAAGTTCTTTTTGAATGCTTCCAAATCCAATCAAAGATCCTCCCTTTCATCCCACCATTTGTTTTTCAGTTGTGTCCGACTCTTTGTGACCCCATTTGGGGTTTTCTGGGAAGAGACACTGGAAGGGTTTGCTATTTTTTTCTCCAGCTCATTTTAGAGATGAGGAAACTGAGGCAAACAGGGTTAAGTGACTTACCCAGGATCATACAGCTAGTAAATGTCTGAGGCCAGATTTGAACTCAAAAGGTGAGTCTTTCTGACTCTAGGTCCTGCACTCAATCCTCTGTGCCACCTAGCTGCCCCTACCCAATTGAAACCATTGACTAAATATCTATGCATCTCTCAGGCACTTCCCTTACACAATTATCCAAGCAATAGGTTCTAAACATGTTCTACCAGGAGAATATCTGTGGCATTCTAGCACTGACCAGACCCCCATTATATAAGCAAATAATCAGTTTTGAAGGGGGGAAGGGCTAAAAGAAGGATCCTTGGGAATCCCACTAAATATTTTCCTTCTAACCCCAAGAGAATCAAATGAGTGAAAGCCTGGTTTTATCCATTTCCTAGAAGTAAAAGGTACATCCAATCCTGCCATCTTCAGACAGAAGTGATTCCAGGCCCATTGGATGACTTACATCCTCCCCAACCTCTCCCCTCTCCCCAGAAGTTCTCAATTATATGCTTGGATCTCATCCTGATGCTGACAACTAAACATATTGAACGTCTAACCTTCAAATTACTCAGTCCTTTATAGAACTATAGAGGCGCTACCGACATTACTGCAAAACTCAGCAGGCCTGATGACTATTAATGGATTAATGGATTCATTTTCTCCTCACTTCCCCCCACCACTGAATAATTGGCACAGTATTTTAGCTGGAAGAGGCCTTAGAGATCATCTAATTCAAGTTTCTAATTTTTGGATGAGGATACTGAGGCCCCAGAGGGGAAAGGCCTTGCCCAATAGCATACATCTATAGCTCACATTTCTCTAGCAAGTAAAGGTTTGCACAGTGAATTCCTGTAGCAGAGGTCAGAGGCCTACCTTGTCCCCGGGTGTCCAGATTTCAGGCCTAATTGGTGGTACCCTTTTGCACTCCCCCAAACTGCCACACAGTTACAGGTATTCCTTATAGTGCATCACTTAAGACTTACTATAATAAAAGTTTTGATCAATTATCTGTATATAAACATCCTTATATACATGTGACATGTGTCAAATACTCATTTCTAAAGGTCCCACATGTATTTAGGGTGGCATCTCAGTCCCATCTGGAAACCAGAAACAATTGCATTGTCCTTCCTCTTTCTATATAATGTAATAAAATAAAGTTTGATTGACAAAAAGAAAACAGAAATCCTTGAATTGAATGCTCTTGAAAAAAAAAAAAAGTACTACCCACCATGCAGCGCTTCACCCAAAAGATCCTTATAGAGCTTCAGTCACTTACGGTTACGACTGAGTAAGGTCCCAACAGGTTTTACTTCCTACAATGCTGCCATCCTGGTTCCTCTGGTAGTTCTGCAAAACATTCATGGTGCTGTGCTTGCCATGTTTGCTTGCAGCAGGTGTCGGCAGCTAGCCAGAATGATTGCTTCCCTGTCCCCTTCCCTGCCAGTGAAGGCTTCACCAACTGCAGAAGGGGAGACCTTCAAAGTGTCCCTGTTTGGCAGGAAACCTAGCTCTGCCTGCATTACAGCTTTCGTGATGCGCTTATGATGCCGGCATTTGTTCCCGTTTTTAGCTACTTCTGCCAAACTCCAGCCTCATAAAAGGTTCCAAGGAGCAAGGACCTTGCTGCCCTGCATCTAGGAAAAAGGCTTAGCCACCAAGCACCGCTAACAGCTTCTGATATTTCAAGGTCCCTTCTCCCATGGACTTCCAGAAGAGGTAGCGTCCTCCAACCAAGTGAGCATTCTGAGGTTGCTCCAGAACTAGCAATATCTCCCGTTTGTTTTTCTTTTCCTTAATTATCCACTTCATATCTGAAAAAAGTCTCTGGTAGGTAACAGGTAGAAGTAATCAAATCATTCCAGGCTATCACTATTTCCACCTGAGGTGGAAAGGGTGATTGTACACATTCAGAACAAGTCACTTCTTGGCAAGAGATAGGAGGCAAGGAAGTAGACAAGGGGAGGAAAGTTAACTTCTGTCCTAGAGAGTCCCAAAGCGATCTCTAAGATTGTTGTTATTCAGTAGTTTTCAGTTTTGTCGGGCTCTTCGTGAACTCATTTGTGCTTTTCTTGGCAAAGATAATGGAGCGGTTTGTCACTTCTTTCTCCAACTCATTTTACAAACGAGAAATTGAGTCAAACAGGGTTAAGTGACTTGCCCAGGGTCACACAGTTAGTGTCTCAGCCCAGATTTGAATTCACAAAGATGAGTCTTCTTGATTCTAAGGCCAATGCTCTATCCACTCTACCAACTACCTGCCCTAATCTTTGAGATACCAGATTTGAAAATGGCATTTATGACACAGAAATAAACATATATACAAACATGCACATATGTATGTATACACATATACATATTATAAATATATAAACATATATGACAAAATACATGCAAATGTGTCATAATATATGTTCATATGAGTATCTGTGTGTGTATGAGAGACACAGACAGAGAGACAGAGACTTGGGCTTAGACCTCTGATTTCATTTCTGTATGGACCCCCTAGAAAAGAAACTCTCCCTACCAATGAAGATTTGACATTTGCTTTGTAACTTATAGTCTTAGCTATCTGGAGGTGCTGAGAGGATAAATGACATGCCCAGGGTCAGTGTATGTCAGCAGCCTGTATACATCAGAGGCCCAGGCCTCCATGACTTCAGCTAGCCCTCCTCTGTCATCTACTTTGTGCTGCTTCTGAATGGATATGTAGAACTACATATTGTAAATACCTACACAGCACTCTCTAGAGAGATATAGATATATTCTATGTATACATATGGATATAGCTTATTAACATGACTCTCCCACTAAAGACCTTTCCCAGTGTCTCCTTGTTATGTGGAGGTAAAAAGGGTATTTGAAGGTTGCTGGGACATCCTGCCAAGGTTAAAAAAAAAAAAAGATAAAGACTTCAAATGCAGGTTGGCTGCCTGACTGTATCTCTCTTGATTCCAATACTATCCTGACTAAGTTTAGAGGGGGCTTTTTACCAGGTTAAGCACAGGGCAATGTGTTTGGTTTTTGAGGTTTGTTTGTTTGCGTTTGGTTTTTTTTGTTTGTTTGTTTGTTTGTTTTGGCCACCTGAGGAGATTTTGATGGAATAAGAAGAGTCCTGAATATAGAGTTTAACAGTCTGGGTACAACTCAGTGTGTGGTCAGGAGCAATAATCATAATAATAGCTAGTATTTATGCTGCACTTCAGAGTTTGCAAGGCATTTCACAAATATCATCTCATTTTATCCTCACCAAGACCCTGCAAGGTAGGTCTTATTATCCCCATTTTACAGATGAGGATATTGTGGCAAACAGTGACTTACCTGGTATCACACAGATAGTAAAAAATGTCTGAGGCTGGAGATGAATTCAGATCTTCCTGAATCCAGGTCCACTCTAACCATCGTATCACTGAGCTGCCTCAAGTCACTTAACCTCTACCTTGGACTAACTTACCTCTTCAGCCCCTTCTATTTCTCAGACTATGACCTGAATCTGATTTGCTAATTTACAGAAGAGTAGTGATCTGTGTCGGAAGAATAAGCATCACCCCTAGGAGGGAAACCACAGGTGTTTGAAGTGTTAAAGCATGAATATAAATTGTCTGTGTCACGGGCTTTTGGTAACATTTGTGTGTATCCACTGCCGTCCTTAGAGCCTGGAAGCACAATGCATGACACGAAGCAGTTGTTATCCTCCAAAGAACATGTCTCCCTCTAAACACGAATTTGTGAGATGAGCAGAAAGGGGAATAAATGTGAGGGGATTTGCCAAATTGAGTCAAAATCTTGACTAGATACTTGCTTCTCATGCAGCTGTTTGGGATTTTTCCTGCCTTTGACATACTGAGTAAAATTCTGAATTGTCAGTTTCCACCACTGTTCTTAGCAGAGGACGCAAAGCAAATTAGAAGAGATTGGCCATGGAGCTGAATTCATAACACATCCTTCAATTCTGCTCTAGTTCAGGCTCATCAGTTACTCAAATTTATACCAGTTTGGCTCCAGTTTCAGTCTTGGATAAGATCAATGGAAGTCTTGAATTTATTTTAGCTTTTTTTTTATTTTGATTTCATTCCACATGAAGTTTAAGAAAGAATTCAAAATAATGGTTCAAGTTCAGGTACAGTTCATGAAAAAAATTATTTAGGCTTTTAAAAAGTTCTGGTTTTGGTTCAATTTGCTTGTGAAACACTAGTTAGATCCAATATCTTATGCAGAGTTCAATGTCAGCAGAAGGAAAATGAATCTGGTAACACCCATTGATTTTCTGCATAACTTCTAAGGTGAATGAAATGTTAAACAGGATTTCCACAATGACTGTATTGCTATAATTAACTTTGAGAGATATTTTGTTTCTAAACTTCTTTGGAAAGAAAATTACTACAAAATAAACTTTTAGTTAGAAATTTCTAATCAATAAGCATTTGTTAAGTCTCTACTAAATGCCAGGCATTGAGCTAGGTGCTAGGGATACAAGAAGAGAGAGAGAGAGACAGAGAAACAAAAGGAGACAGCAACAGACAGAGAGAGAGAGAGAGAGAGAGAGAGAGAGAGAGAGAGAGAGAGAGAGAGAGATGGAGGCACAGGGACAGAGACACAAAGACTGAGAGAGACAGAGACAGAAACAGAAAGAGAGAAAGAGAGAGAGAGAGAGAGAGAGAGAGATGGAGGCACAGGGACAGAGACACAAAGACTGAGAGAGACAGAGACAGAAACAGAAAGAGAGAAAGAGAGAGAGAGAGAGAGAGAATACCTGCCCTCAAGGAGTTTATAATCTATTAGGGAAAGCATACATATAGATCACTAAATACAAAATAACAAAAATTAATGGGAATAATTATAGGGTTAAGTAATCAGAAACAATTAGAGGAATTATATAGGATGTGAAGTTTGAGCTGATGCTCCTTGAAGACTGGGAATGTTTTTAATTTTATCTTTTCATCCCCACCACCTAGTTCAGTACCCAAAACCAACAGACAGTTAATAAATAGTGACTGGATCCTATTTGACTGATAAAATTTCTTTAAAAGGCAGATATTCAACACAATCATTTGGAAGACATATTTGAAATGTGATTATATATCTATGTGATGATTCTTTTTTAACTCCAGATCTCCCAGACCCAGAACTTTTATGAATTTTTCATGTCTGCCACAACTGAATTTTTTTTTTATCTCGAGAAGAAAGCAGAGGCTAAAATTAAATGTACTCAGCTACAGACCACTCCGACGTAGTGGGCCAACCAGGTTCACTTACTGAAAAACTCAACTTCCTAATGAGTCTAAGAATTTTATTCAATTCATGCATTCATCTTTCCCTCCTGCTTTCCTCCCCCAAATTGAGTGCATATTTTTAAATGCATAGGAGCCTAGTCCTGTAAAACAAATTAAGAATTTAATGAATAAGAAGTTTGTGCACAGAAGGCCTTAAAATCAAAGGTCAGCAGAACAAGCTTTAATTCTCCTTTATCAAGAGTCCAAGAACACTGTAGAGAAAGCTGGATTTATTCTGCCCTACAGAGAACTCTCAATGCCCCATGTAGCAATTCAAACTTAAACAGGTTTCCTTTCTCCAACATAAGTTGTGAATTTGGTGATTGTTTTACACAGTTCAGTAGCAGCACTAACATCCCTGGGAATCCTTCATCTGAGAGATTCTCAGTATCATACAGTAGCTGACAAATAATATTCTTTCCATTTATGAAGTCTTTCTTTTTTTTCTTTTTGCACTTTTCACTATATATACACTTAGATTCTCAAAAAAAAATTGTATCTGTTCCTGCAACCTCCGATTCAACCCAATGACTGATACGGAAAGGATTCCAGGGTTTTCAGGAACGTTTGCAAGAGTTCAAAGTCCATTAAACTCATAGTTATAGGATCTAAATTTGAATCTCAAATCAGCCACATGGTGTAGAAGCCAGCGTACTAATTTGGAGTCAGGAAGAGCTGGGTTCAAATCCTGCTTTTGATACTTATTAGATGTGTGACCCCGTCCAAGTCCCTTGACCTCTCTAAGCCTCATTTTCCTTATCTCTAAAATGAGGAGATTGACTAACATCCTTTCAGCTCAGGAGCTACGACCTTATGGTCAAGTACAGAGTTACACTTCTGAGTACTCACTGTTTCTTGAAGAGTCTCTTCCTAAGCTTGTGAACTCTATCATGTTTCTCACTCAAATACAATGATGCTGTTTACAAAACATATACAGTTTCAGCATCACTATTTTATTGCACTATTTCTAAGTTTACAAAGGAATATTTCCTTAAATGTATAGCAAGAACAAATTTGTAAA